TCACATCGGGCCTGGATTCTGTCTTCCCACCTTCTGCTGCCCCTGCATCAGCCTAGTGTCCCACCTGCACAGCCACCTCCCCCTTCAGATGGATGCTCCTGCCCTGGGACTGACCACCACTGTCATGGAACAAGGCCTTGCCTGGGCAATTCCTGAGCTGGAGGCAGGCAGAGAGAGGGACCTCATTCTTTCAACAAGTACCTGAAGGCTATCCAAGCCAGCCCTGTGCTAGGAGCTAGGATGTTCAAGAAAATCAAAACTCAGTTTTAAGGCCCAGCCAGAGAGTCAAGTCTTCAGTTCATTTTTTTTTTTTAAATTGGAAACAATTCAAGACAATCAACAAGTTCTAATCCCAAATGAGAGCAAGATCCCTGTGGGCTGAGAAAGCAGACAGGGTAACACAATGGTTAAAAACCATGAGCTCAGGGGCTTCCCTGGTGGCGCAGTGGTTGAGAGTCCGCCTGCCGATGCAGGGGACACGGGTTTGTGCCCCAGTCTGGGAAGATCCCACATGCCACGGAGCGGCTGGGCCCGTGAGCCATGGCCGCTGAGCCTGCGCGTCCGGAGCCTGTGCTCCGCAGCGGGAGACGCCACGGCAGTGAGAGGCCCGGGTACCGCAAAAAAAACAAAAAACAAACATGAGCTCTGGAGTCAGATGCCAGGACTCAAACCCTGGGTGCATTAATTACCAGATGTGACTTTGAGCATGTGAATTAACCTCTCTTAGGCCTCAGTTTCCTTGCTTGTAAACTGACAATGGTGACGGTACCTATTTGGAAGGATTAAGTGAGATATAAAGGGCTCCGCATAGTGCTCGGCGTTTAGCTGGCACCCGTATGTGTCAGTCATCCTCGTCCTCATCATTATCACCATCATCAGCTAGGCATTAGAGAGGCACTGGGGACTCCTGGTCCTGAAATGGCCTAGTAAAAGAAGCCTGTATCATTCCCCTCCTGAAGCACCAGGAACTGGGTTAAGAAGAGAGACCTCGGGTTCCCTGTCCCTATTCTGCAGATTACTTCAGAAAGCTACTGTCAATGCTGATGACAGATAGGACGAATTAAACCTGGCCAGGGACGCAGGAGATCTTGAGCCAACCGGGGGCCTTAAAGGGGCAGGTTGGAATCTGTGCCCCCTCAAACTGACCACAGCCCCCTTGGCCCTCTCCCTCGCTCCTGCCCACTCTCTCCCATCAGCCTGCTGGCTGGAATGCAGGGGTCCCTGTGCCAGAAGGCCCAGGCTAGGCAGGAGGCCGGGAGGCACAGGTGGTTCTCAGAGGAGATCCCTGAGCTCCAGAAAGTATTTCCCCCACAGGCCCAACAAAGCTGGGGCTTGTTGTTGGTCAAGACGCCTTTGCTTGTCTGGGCTGCAGCCCAGACGGTGAGGCGGCTGGGGGAGGCCAGGGGACGCAGGGCTGCAGGGTGTGTGTGTGGCAGGGAGGATCGGCCAGCCCTTTTGGCACCAGCTTCCTCCTTCCCTGGGTTTCTCACTTTGTTCAGCACGGCAACCCAAAGAAGGCTGGGGAAAGCACTTTTCACTACCCAGCAAATAAAACCACAGGGAGAAGGAGAAGGATGAAAGGTTTGGGGGTTTTTAAATTTGGTTTTGGGGTATTTAGGTGGTTTTAAAAAATAATAAAAGGAAGTTGTTCCTGCAACCCAATTAATTTCAAACCCAGGATTCAGATCATAGCCAACAGTGATCTCACAGCACCTAACACATATTTTCCCTCTTCTGAGACTTGATGTCCCAGTGGAGCAAGAGTTGGTCCCAAGAGGCCAGGAGGGATGTTTTCTACCTCCTGGATGGGAGTGGTTAGGGATGGGGCACAAGCATGGCTTCAATCAACCCTACCACAAAACTCTGGGACTTTCAGCTCCCCAGGTCCACAAACACCCATGCAGTCCTACTAGTCATGGGTATGCATGGCTTTCCAAATGGAGGTATGACACCAGAGGCTGCTGGAGCCCACTTATTCTTAAGAATCATGTCCTCCTAGCCCCAGGCCTTGGCAATGGGCAGAGGAGATTCCAATGGGGACCTTAACTTATCTGTTTCCTTCATTATTTCCACGAAAGGAGCCCTCACTCACAGGTCATTCTGCCTCTGTTGGCTCTCTTCCACTGGGCCCCAGAGCACTGACTCCAGACCTTCCTCGGTCCTACTACCTTAGAGAGAATGAGGGGAGGGATTATTCACACTGGGTCTTTGACAAAGGAGAGCTTTTCATACAGCAGTTTAAGGAGACGTTCGGACTGGGAATTCCTTCCCTAAGCAGCTGCCTGCCATCCCATCCAATTCCTCAGGTCTAGCTCAACCCACTCACACCACATGCCCAACACTTGCTTTGGAACAGATTTTTTCCTGGTGGCATGTTTTTGTCATGCATTTTTGAAGTCACAAACTATAAAAACTATGGGGTTTTCTCTTTGGAAAAACATTAGGATACCAAAAAGCTCATCTGATTGTAAGTTTCCTTTCTTTCCCACTAAGGCACTTGGGATGGGACACAAACCTTTCAGAAGAATAAAAGAAATGACACAGATTTGCAAACACACTTGACAGTGCTGGGGGTTCCTGATTTACTGACTGGGTGACCCACCTCACTTCAGGCTTTCATTGCTACACAGTACCTGTGCCGCATACCGGGTACTGTTAGCTGCTGCTAAGTTGAGGTATTCTCAAGTCAAAGGTTTCTAGAGAACCCACTTCCCATCCGCCTCCCTGCTCCTTCTGTGGAAAAGCCAAGGAGTTTAGACCCTCATGATAAAGCTGCTCAGAACCCTCGGGTCAGCTGCCACCAGCACAGGCCTGGGCCGCTGCCACTTCAACAGCTCCTGCCTCTTCTGTGCTCAGGCCCTGATTCTCCCCGACGACCACAGCTACCCACCGCGACTTGCTTGAGAAGCACACATCTTCTTCCAGAAAACGACATTTCCTTGCACTCCACCACCAAGAGGAGGAAAATTCACAGAAAAGGGGAGTCCCAAAAGGAAGACTGGGCAAAAGATAATCTGGAGAAAAATATAAGACCTTCAGGAAACACAGTGATTGCCAGAAACTCAACAACCAGGTCCCTAGCTCCTCCTCCATGCTCTAGGGAAGAGAAAATGATGAAACCCAGTGGCTTTAAGAATCCACATATATGTACACTCACTTATGTTGAGCTGTCTTCTTGAGGTGACCCCGTCCCAGGAGAAGCAGTGACATCAACATAAAGTAATGAAGGTTAAGGCAGAGGATTCCATGTGGATCATCTCAGGTTGTTCTTGCTTGGGGGGAGGGGCACCCAGAGACCAAGGAACCTGCCTGACACCCTGACACACACTTTACAGATGCCTGGGCTCAGAGACAGGTGACAGATGCATACACACAGAGCTGCGGAGAGAAGGGCACAGAACCTGTGCCTGAAAATTAAAAACCCAGCATTGACTATCTATTGTTCAGTTAATTTTCATTAGGTGCTAACTGCTTCCTCTGATCATCTCCTCTCCTTTTCTTTGGAGAGGTAGAAAGTGCACAAAGGGATACTTCTCCCTCTTTGTGGGGAGGAATGGGGAAAAATGAGAGGGAGCAGAGAGGAAGATAGAAGTAAGCTGCCTCGTAAGTACCTGAGAAATAAGGTGTTCAGTGAGCTCGTAAATCTCACCCAATCCCCTGAAGAAAGGGATCAGGCCTCCATCAGGGATTAGGTCTAACCACCACAGGAAGACATCCTGTATATTTAAAGTCCCGGGAACCTCAAGGAGGTTGAGCTAAGTCAGAGACCTGTGGATTAAAAGCAAAGGATGGTTTGAGTGGGAAAAAGCAAAAACTCTAGTCCTTTGATGAAGTCACAAGCAGCACTGATTCTAAATGAGATTTTTTCGAACTACCATACGACCCAGCAATCCCACTACTGGGCATATACCCTGAGAAAACCATATTTCAAAAGGAGTCATGTGGGCTTCCCTGGTGGCGCAGTGGTTGAGAGTCCACCTGCCGATGCAGGGGACACGGGTTCGTGCCCTGGCCCGGGAAGATCCCACATGCCGCGGAGTGGCTGGGCCCGTGAGCCATGGCCACTGGGCCTGCGCTCCGGAGCCTGTGCTCCGCAACGGGAGAGGCCACAGCAGTGAGGGGCCCGTGTACCAGAAAAAAAAAAATTTTTTTAATAAAATAAAAAAAAAATGAGTTTTTGTACCCCTGCTCTTAGGACCCAAGCCATGGGAAAAAACTCTCCCATGACAAAACAGTACCTTTTCTCAGCTTCCCTAAGAACACTGAACACCAGATAATCTGACTAAACAGAACCTAGACAAGTTGTGTCTTCGAGCAAGCCCCCTAGATCAGAGTTTTCTTGGGGACTGATCGTACTTTAGACATGAGCCCTAGGGAAGCAGCAGCAGGAAAAGGAGTCAGAACTTTAAGGCCAAGCTCATCTGACTGACTCAGATAATCATCCATGGACAGGACCAGGGAGCCCCTGCCTGGACAGAAGTTACTATGCATCCCAGAAGGCCCAGTTAAAGGCCAGCCCAGCCCAGCCCACCCCCTCCCTGGCCCCAAAGGAGAAGGGCCTATGCTTTCTAGGAAACAGCAGTTGTGTTAGACCCTTGCACTGCATCTGAATTCCTCCATTTTGTAATTTTAATACAAAAGTTAAGATGGTCAAATATCAAGTCTCCCAGGATGGCAGGCTTTCTGATCAACATTTTTCTTGTCATTCCAAATTCTTCAATCTTAGTTCCAGGGGCTTCCCTGGTGGCACAGTGGTTAAGAATCCGCCTGCCTATACAGGGGACACGGGTTCGAGCCCTGGTCCGGGAAGATCCCACATGCCGCAGAGCAACTAAGCCCGTGCACCACAACTACTGAGCCTGCGCTCTAGAACCTGCGAGCCACAACTACTGAGCCCGCGTGCCACAGCTACTGAAGCCCACGCGCCTAGAGCCCATGCTCCGCAACAAGAGAAGCCACTGCAATGAGAAGCCCGCGCACCGCAACGAAGAGTAGCCCCCGCTTGTTGCAACTAGAGAAAGCATGCGAGCAGCAACAAAGACCCAACACAGCCAAAAATAAATAAATAAAATAAATTTAAAATCAAATTCTTCAATCTTAGTTCCAGAATCGAGGTGCCCACCACCACCAGGGCTTTTTCGCCTTTTACCGTCAAGGAATGAGGGTGGACTCTAAGCAATCTCCACTGGTCCATCGCTCCAGCCACCTTGCTCCAAACTCTGCCTGAAATCCCTGGGCGCTCCACAAAGTTATCAAGAGCAATTCCTGCCTCTTCTTCCAACCTAAATACAATTATACTTCTAAAAGGGAAAAAAACAGCCCAGGGAATCCCCAAAGAGGCCTGCTGCACTCTTCCCCCTTGCGATGAAGCTTAATAATGAAATGCCCCGTGCTCCAATTAGTAAGAAATGCTCATTTTCTCCAGCTGAACACCCCCTATAGATATGTCTAATTTGTTCCCATGATTCCATCTCTCTCCTCCGTCGAGTTTGCACTTAAAGGTTATGATCTGTTGGTGCCTTCCAGCCAGGCCCTGGCAAGACAACCTGGGGGAAGAGACAGTGTTTTCTATAACCTTGGAGCCCCAGCCTGACTATCCCTGATACCCCTTCCCTTCATCATCACATCCATACACATAATCTGTCTCTTTCAGGCTCTTTATGAGTTGTCCACAAAATGGAAGAGAACGGAAAGGAGAAACAACATTTGGAAAAGTTAAGGGAAAAGAAGAGTAAAAGAAAAAAAGAGGGGGTGGGTATTGCTGTGAGTGCCCATTTCTCAATGAAAGAAATGTCCTTTGCCACGGAGGGACCCAAAACAGGAGCTGCTCCTTCCTGGTGGGCCCCTTTGGAACTCAGGTCCCTCAAAGGTCTTGGAGCTCCAGCTTCTTTCCCCTCATCAGGCCTGGTGTGTGACTGGCACCCATTCCTGAGACAGTCTGAAGGGTGCCAACAGCAGCACAGAGGAGCCCCTGTGCTCGGGGAACCCTGGCGGGATGTCTCTCCCAGGCCACCTCATCTCAGTGGCCAGCCTGCATCTCTGCCTTCTGATTGTATGGAAAGTGAGGACACAGTCCCTTGCTAAAAACCTGACTCCTAGGATGAAGGCCCCACCCCCAGCACCACACCAGATGCCAGGACCATGGCCTGGCTATAGGTGTGGGGTGGGCAGGTCCTCCCTGACTCAAAGGTATCCCTAGGTTTCTCTCTCCCCAGAAGTAGAGCAGGCCACAACCAGGTTGATGCTCCCAGAGTCTTCCTCTCTTCAAATCATGCATATGCATCTTCTCTCCAGCCAGGCTAGGGGCCCAGAATGGGTAAAGACACCCTCTCCCCCGGCTCCCGGCACATGGCTATACTGCAGCGAGGCGAATGGTAAAGACCGAAGACATCCTGTTAGACCACCCCTAGTGGGTCTACCTGTTACGAGGCCCCAGTTCTTCTCACTGGGGAAAATGCCTCCCCTTCTGTCCCTGGTTTCTAGGGCCTCTCCCCTTAACTGCCGGAGATGAGCATTTGCGATTTGCCAATGCTCCCCCAGACACTTCGCCTCTTTTCTGCCTGGTCCTGTTCTCCCCTGACCCTTACCAATTGCTGGGTAGTCATCTGCAGCAGACTTATGCTCTCCCAGCACCCCTCCTGCTTGCCTCCACCTCCTCCGACCCCTGGAGACAAGGCCCTGCCCTGGCTCCCTGAGACTCACAATCTGTGCTCCTGCCGTACTCAGTCACAAGGGGGATGTAACTCACTTCAAGCTTTACGTGGTAGAACTAACCGCCCCCCTCGGGGGTGGGGAGGGGGGCAAGCAAGCGTGTGCCTGAGCATCCCAAGGTGCTCTTGTTTTCCAGGCACCCCGTCGTAGTCTCTGACAGACGCACGGATGGGGGAATCCTCTGCCAGCCAGAGTTGGCATCTCACCCTATCTCTCAAATCTGCCACTAGCCTCCAGGGCCGCAGACCCTCCAAGAAGAAGAGGCCCTGCAAGACAAAGACCTGAGGCCCCCCAGCCTGGCCTCCCAGCCCAACACAGGCCCGCATTAAAATCAACACTCCGTGAACACACAAAACTGACAAGGCAGAGGGGGAGCACACATCGGATACAAAGATCGGGCTCTCGGGAGACGCGGCCTGTTGGTCTCCCATGTTAGCTCCAAGTGACTAAGCGCAGGGTGGGAAATAATGCCATCGTGGCCGCCAAAGCTCCCGCCTGGGCTCCAGGTTGGGCAGCCTTTTCACGGGGAGGATGCCTCTGCCTGGAAAAAAATGCAAGCATTGTGTGGGAGCCATTAATGCGTGAGCCTCTGCACATTCCTTCAAGAAGCAGGAGCACACTAGTCCCTGAGCCCCCAGCCCTGTGCCCCAGCAATTGTACAGGCTTGGAACACACTGCACATGCCACCTGGTCCTTCCCCCCAGGCCCCTGGCTCTGTGAGCGGTGGGGAGGGCCCCGCCAAACACCCTGGCTTCATTGTGCCCCAGAAAGAGGGGACTAATTACTCGCCTACACTCTGGAGCGCCCAGGAAGAAAACAGAGGCCAGTGGGGTGGAGAGGGTGGGAAACGGGGGTGGCGGGGTTTGAAGAAGGGAGAGAGAAAGCCACAGGATACATTTCAAAGTTTCTCTAGCAATTTGGGGGTGGGGGAAAGAAAGCCTGGTCCTGATGTGAAATCATACAGAGGTCAGGGCTGGGTCTCCCACCCTTGTGAGAAAGTGGTGAATCGAAGACGGTTTATCAAACGATCATTTTTTTCTTTTGAAACTGGGAGGCAGCAGCTTGGACAATTCTGCAGATGTGCTTGATGAATTAGGGACAAAAATGGCCCTTCTCTGCCCCCCTCCTCCCCTCCTTCTATAAGGGCTCCCATCGGGGGTTGCTTCTCCCTCCACTGCCTCCCGGGCCCTCCCCTCCCTTCTTCAGTGGTCAGCTGAGACCCCACCCACTGCTTGCTTTTGTACTCTTGGCCTTTGGACATACTGACAAGGGCCTTTATGAGACCCCAATCAAGACCCCCATGTCACAGGTACCTAGTAGAGACACCAGACCTTTTCAAACAAGGGACAACAAGGAGAATCGGCGGGCCCATTGTCTCTCCTCTGTGCTAAGTGAGATGAAAGGGGCCCGCAGCCCCCTCCCCACAGCCCGCCTGCCAATCACCTCTAGTTATTAAGGTCACAATGTGTAAATTCTTTTGACCTGCACCTAATCAAAGATTCACCGGCCCTTTCAAACCCGAATGGGGAGGAGGGGAGAGATTCCCTCCCATAAACCCAGCAAATTCTCCCTCAATAAAATTTCTCTCTCTGATTCCTTCTCTGCTTCCCATCTCCACCCCTTCGCTTCTCTTCACTCCGCCCTCTTCACCACTAGCTTCAAACACAACTGACAAGCCCCATGGAATTACTACCCTCAAAACCCCAAGGAGGATTTGAAAGTTTCTATTTAATTCTCTTTAAATAAAAAGTTTTTGGACAGGCATAGTTGCCCAAGGAAGCCCAGAACCTGGGCAGTCCCTGGGCTCTGATGCCAAATCTCTCCAAATGGCAAAGTGGCCGACTGGCTTTTCTCTCTCTCCTAAATTAGCCTCTCTTGCTTTGCCCAGGATACCATTATACATGGAGAAAAAAACTGGGATGAATGATACTCCCTCACATTGTCACTTAGCATCTCTAGCTCAGTTGCTGACCCTCCAAAACCCAGCTTACACTGAGTGGTTTTGTGAACTGAGGTGAAAAAAATTACCACGCCCAAAGTAGGCAACCCTCAAGAAAAAAAAGAAAATAACCATAAGGTAGAACAACACAGAACAGAATAGGAGCCAGAGGAAAGAACCTGAGAGAAAGCAAAACTTAGGATTTTTTGTGGTTTGAAAACTACAAAATGCTTAAATCAAGCAAGGAGAATAAAATGCTTGCCAATCTCCATCCATCAATATCAAGCTACGCATTTTTCTCTTACCTATCTTGCCTGTCACTTAGAATAGGGAGAAGGCATAACAAGAAAGGTAGTGATACTTTATGTAAGTTGCCCCCAAATCCTCATTTGTCTACTGTCTGCTCTTGGGGATGCCTCGCTCTCCCTTTACCTGTCTCTCTCCTTCTTTCTCTCTCTCTCCTTCTCTCTCTGCTCCTACTTTTCCTCCTGCCTCTGTGATGGTACCTTTTGCTTCTTGGTTTCTCCCTGCCCAGCTGTCTTTACTTCTCTCTGAGCTTCCTTTTGGTGCTAATCCCTCATGTTATTTCAACTGTCGTCTCCATGCCGAAGCCTTCCACATCTCAACCCTGGGTCTGAGCTCCAGGCCACCACTCCTGGCTGTCTCTGGCCATGGCTACCTCACTGTCCCTTCACTGCCTCAAACAGAACTCAGTCTTCTCAAAGCTAGGGTCCCCGTCTGCCATCAAGCCCATAGAGGAACTCAGGCAGGTCTCTCCCCTCTCTCCCCCACAAGCAGTCATGACCACCTACAGACTTTTTCCTGTTTCTCCTGCTGTCCTCAGGAATCCAGTCCGTTACTGCTAACAAAGTGTACTCCGGAAAAGCATCCAAACAGCCTCAGTCTCCCCCCCTCCAAAGTATCCTACACACTGTGCCACCACATTAATCATTTAACTGCTTCAATCTGGCCAAAGATCTTCCATGGTTCCCTATTATTCTCAGATTAAAGTCAAACTCTGCTCTTCAAAGCCCTCCAAAACCAGGCCCCAAAGCTCCCCTCCAGCCACATTGCCCACTACTCCTTTACACAAACTTGTCTGCTCTGAACTCCCAAACTTACCTGCTCTGAACTTCCAAACTTACATGAGCTTCCCTATCCTTTAGTATGTCTTTGCTCATACCACTCCCCTGCCCTCAAGTTCCTGTCTGCAATTTAAATAGAACCATCTTTTAAGTCCCACTTCAAATTCCATGTCATCCAGGAAGCTCTCCTTATTTAACAAAAAGGCTACTGCTTTCCTCTGATTTCCTATCGATAACCTTGACAGTTGATGGCACTCACACTGCGTATATACAGTGTTGTCTGAGTACATGTATTATTTTACCAACTGGAATATAAGCCCCTGGATGGTAAAAACTGTCTCTTGTGCTTCATATTCCCCATGCATCCTTGCACACAGCAGTATTCTTGATACATCTATAAGGCTGGCACTCAGAGATATGCATTACATAGAAAATTAGTTCTGAGTTTGCCTTGTCTTTTTAAAAAAATTTCAGTATTTTAACTTATTTCTTTTCCCACAAAAGGTCCCAAGTATGAAACCATGTTTAATGCTGCAAAAGCAAGTGTAAGGAAGGACCTTTTCAGGGTGATGGAAATATTCTAAACTGAATCGTGGTGATGGATGCACAACACTGTAAATTTGCTAAAACTCATGGAATTGTACACTTAAAGTGGGTGAACTTTATATTATGTAAATTATACTTCAATGAAACTGTTTAAAATAATAAATAAATGTAGGTCCATGTATCCTTAATTTAAATAACTGTAAGGGGAAAAGGAAGGGTTCTCTCTACAGTTACCTGATATTGAAATAGACATTTAAATGTAATTTATGTTTTTTCTATTAATAAAAATAGGCTCATTATAAAAAAAAACTTAAATACAAAAAAGTAAAACGAAAGTAAATGTCAGCATAAATCTACCACATAAGAAATAACTGAAAAGATAGTCAAATAACTATCATACTGCTTTGTGACCTTTTTTCATTCAACACTATGTTATGACATCTTTGGGGGTCAATAAATATGTACATCTATATCATCCTTTTAATGGCTATATAGTATTCTATTGGGTGAATGTAAAATATTTAACTAGACTCCTACTAATGGATATTTATGTGTTCTTAATATAAGTCTTTATGTATACATCTTGCATACCTGTCTGATTATTGCCTTAGGATAAATTTCTAGAAGAGGAATTTATGTGTCGAAAGGTTTTTACATTTTTATTTTGATACTCACTGCCAAACTAATGTAATTTTAAAACTAACTTTTCCTCTCCTTATTCTTAGACTTACCATTACCAGCCTGCAAAGAAGGATTTTCCTGGCCACAAACCTCTAACAAGTGAAGAATCCTTTGAATAATTTTTATTTTTTGTGTTAACTTTCTGTTTTTATTCTCAACCACAGCTTACCGTGGATGCTAGTGAGACTCAAATTGGCCAGGAAAGTAGAGTGCTTCAAACACATTAACCCATGTGTCCCTCTCTCTCTGCCAGATGTTACGAACCTCACCTTCATACCCAGCTGACCCTCCTCTTGGGTCACTTACGATAGGACCCACTCCAATCACTCACTTGGTCTTTTCTCATTCAGGCCCAGGAGGAAAGAGGCCCAGCCTTGGCCAGGACAACTAATGCTACCACTGCAACAAAGCAGAAAATAACAGGAGAAAAAGAGGCATTCAGCAAGAGTAGAGCCCTCAGGAGCAAGAGACAGTGGGTCACATGCTCTGAGCTAGGCCCTCTCTGTAGCCCCTGAAGTCCACGGTGCAATGAGTTCAGGGTGAGGAGCCTGTGCTAAGTGACGGCTGAGTGAATCTGGACAGCGTCCTATATGGAAACTGTGCTCCTGAGACTCCACAGAGTTTTGATCAGGCACCACAGGAATGATCCAGGGCAAGACTCAAGCTAATCTCTCTCAAAATTCCCCAGTCAACAAAGAAAGGAGGAACGGACACTTATGGTGGCCTCAAGCAGAAAGGGGTCCACTTCACTTTACCTTGCACATCTCAGCTTTACTTCCCTCTCTGTCCAGCCAGCACATGTCACATGTGCAACAAGCCACACACAAAGGAGGAGAAGTAACCCCCACCGTTGCACGATGGCCTTTACGACTGGCGGATATTTATACTTGGAGAAAGCTCACCCTCCACGCTGCCTTCTGGCCTCTCTTTGTGTCTTCCTGTCTAGCTCAGCTCCTAGAAAGAAGCCAGTATGAAGCTTCACACCTGACCACTTGCTATGCCAGCATAATGAAAGTGATGCCCATCCCCTGCTTATCCTCATCTCCATCACCACTGAAGCTTCCAGAAGCAACATAGACATAAGTGTCTCCAGCCTGAAGCCAAAAGCCACACCTCTCTAGGTGGGGCAGACAAAACATGGAAAGTCAAGAACAAGGCCTGGTGACCCCACATTCTGCTTCACCAAGCCTGTCCATGGTATTAAGAGAATCAGAGAAAGCAGAAGATAAAGGGCCTTGGCCTTAATGCCTTCTCAAAGCAGGGGAGCTCCTGCCTTTGGGAGGTGTGCTC